TTCTTAAATAGTAAGACTTTAAAGTTGAAATTATTCCTTGATCCAGAAGAATGTATGTCGTGTCAGCAGGCATGAAGAAAACACTCATATCTTGTACATCTCTAGCAGAGCTCTTGGGGAACTGGCCAGGTGCTTTGTCAGCAGTAATGTTTTGAAAGGGATCATTTTTTGTCAATAGCAGGTCTCAGCAGTGGGCTTAAAATACTCAGTAAACCATGCTGTAAACAGACGTGCTGTTATTCGGCTTTGTTACTTTTATAGAGCACAGGCAGAGTAGATTTAGCATAATTCTTAAGGGCCTAAGAATTTTCAGAATGCTAAATGAGCACTAGCTTTACCTTAAAGTCACTAGCTGCATTAGCCCCTAACAAGAGAGTCAGCCTGTCCTTTGAAGCTTTGAAGCCAGGCATTGACTTTTCCTTTCTAGCTATGAAAGTCCTAGATGGTGTTGTCTTCCAATAGAAGGTCATTTTATCTACATTGAGAATTTTTAATGTAGTGTAGCCACCTTCATCAGTTATCTTAGCTAGATCTTCTGGATAACTTTGTCATCAACATTTGCTACTTTACCTTGCATTTTATGTTCTGGAGATGGCTTCTTTACTGAAAACCTCATGAACCAACCTCTATTAGCTTCCAGTTTTCCTTCTACAGCTTCCCTTACTTCTCTCAGCCTTCATAGAATTGAAGAGGGTTAGGACCTTGCTCTGCATTAGGCTTTGGTTTAAGGGAATATCGTGGCTGGTTTGATCTTCTATTCAGACCACTAAAACTTTCTATCAGCAAAGAGCTGTTTTGTTTTCCTATTATTCATGCATTCACTAGAGTAGCACTTTTAATTTCCTTCAAGAACATTTTCTTTGCAGTCACAACTTAGTTAACTGTTTGGCACAAGAGGCCTAGCATTTGGCCTGTCTTGGCTTTTGATATGCCTTCCTCACTATGTTTAATTATCTCTAGCTTTTGATTTCAAACGCGAGATTTGTGACTTTTCCTTTCACTTAGAGGCCATTGTAGAGTTATTAATTGGCCTAATTTCAATGTTATTATCTGGCTACAGGGAGGCTCAAGGAGAGAGAGAGAGAGAAGAGAGATGGGGACTAGCTGGTTGGTGGTATAGCCAGAACACATATAACATTTATTGATTAAATTTTCCATCTAATATGGGTGTAGTTTTTGTTGCTCCCAAACAATTACAGTGGTAACATCAAAGATTATAATTACAGATCACCATGACAGATTTAATAATAATGAAAGTTTGAAATATTGCAAGAATTACCAAAATATGACATGGACACAAAGTGAGCATATGCTGTTGGCAAAATGGTGCTACAAACCTTCAACTTGTTTAAAAAAACAAACAAACAAACAAACAAAAAAACCCCAAACCCATAATTTCTGCAAAGCTCAATACAGCAAAGTGCAATAAAGTGAGGTATGCCTGTATTTTAGGTAGATGTAGCGTCGTAAGCATGAGAGTCAGAGAAAGCAACTTGAGCTAGTAGAATTAAGTGAGAAATGGTAAACAGTTTTGAAATGATTTTAATTCCTAGCTGAGGAGTTTGTCCTTAATTCATTAAGGATTGTGGATCTGTTGAAGGTTTTGAACCATGAAACTGACATTGATTGATTTAGTAAATACTTACTCAGAGCATTGCCAGGCATTATGTTAGCTATTGGATATTAACTCACCTGAGGCAGAGGCGGCGTCTAACATTAGTGACAGCAGGTGCTGTCCACTGACAGTCAAGTTCTAACTTTTAGTTTACTTTCTAAAAACTTTTCCTCCTCATGATGATGCTGCTAGCTGCCACTTACGGATCAATTTCTGTGTTGCGTGCACTGTGCTGAGTGACTCATCCTTACAGTTACTCTGAGGTACATATATTATTAATACCTGTTTTACAGATGAGGAAATTGAGACTTAGTAGAGGTTAAACAGGTTGCAGGACTAATGTGTGGCAAAGCTGAGATTTGGACCCGAGGGCCATCCTATTCCAAAGTTCATTCTAACACTACTAAGTGCTGCCCTGTATTGCTGCTTTGATAACGTCATTCTGCCAGGAACCTTTGTGAGCCTTGCTGCATTTGGCGTCCTCTGTGTGTGCTTCCAAGGTGGATATTCCTGCTCTGTTGGGCAGGAATATTCCACTTCTCTTATTAATGCTACAGGTATTCCAGGGCTGGCAGGATCTTCTTTTCTGTAATGTGGCACATCTCTGCTCTCACTTGTCTTGTGTTTATGATTTGTGTGTTGTCATGTACTTGAGTGGGGCCCTGTTTTGGTACTACTGCTTTAGCTGTGCATCCATGACCAAGATCACAGTGTCTGTATCTGTGAAATGGTACAGCATGACTCCTGACACCCCTTCCCAGGCAGCCTTCTGTTCCTAGTGTTAGGCATTAACACAAAGGGAATAAGTGGCTCTGGGATTCTTGGATGCTAGGGAAAGCATGGTCAAAAACCTGTCATTCTTTTTTTAAGTCCTGACCCTTGACACCACTGTCAGAAATGCTATGTTCATAAATGTTCTAATAATCTTTCTTTATGGACCTTAAGTTCTGTCCATATGTGGTCATATCCTCTGAGTTGCTCCAACGTAGAACCTCTGCACTTTCTGAGCAGTCTCTTCAGTTACTGTCTGCATATTTTCCACCTCTGAACCTTTTCTTTCCTCACCCCATCTTCCCTACAATCTTTATCCATTCCTGTTTTCATTTGGTCACCTGAAACTGGGTCCCTGCTCCAGACCAATTAAATCAGAATGGGGGGTGGGGCCTCAGACACGGGAGTTTAAGGCTCCCTTGTGGTGGTGCACTGGGGGCTGAGACTGCTGCCTTGGTTCAAATAGGCCCATCTGGCCACTGTCCCTCATTGCTCCCCTTTCATTACCATTCCCTATATGTGAATAATTATGAAAATTATTAATAATTATTAAGGAGCACAGTACTAGTAGCTATTTCTGTTTCCAATTTTTAATGGCAGTTTTATATGCATCCACAATTTTTATCCTCATCCACTCTGGACTGTCTTATGTCCCAGACCTCTACATCTGTCTGATGGACATGGCAACATGCTGTCAGTTAAACACAGTGAAAGCACAGTGCTAAGAGGGCTTCATTTATGTATTCTCAAAAGGAGTTCAGATTGTGGAACTGAACTCCTTATGACAGGCAACTTAAAAAAAAGTTATCTGTATGTTTATGGAAACATTGAACACACAGGAAAAAAGATGGAAAGATATATATTAAAATATTTAATGATTTTGGGTGGTGGGGTTACAGATGGTTTTTCTTTTCATATCTACAGTATAAATTTTCTATAATGAACATGTATTTCTTCTGTATTTTAAAAAACAATCATAAAAGGAAAATACACTCTAGAAAAGTAGGGGTATATGAACGTGTGTGTTATTTTTAGCTCGAGGCTGAAATATTCAGTGGGAATATTGAGAATGGTACCATACTGAGAGTGAGTTAATAGCAAGGCTTGGCATACAAAAGCTAGGATTTGGATTCTTGTTATTTTTGTTTTTGCTTATTATAGCTAAGCTAAACTTGTCTCATCTGATGGTTGGTATTTTGTGTTGTTGAACAAGTGAGTGTCATGAGACTATTAGTCTGTAACATGGGCACAAGAAGATGATGACATTGATAGTTTACTGTTTTGTTTCTAATGCCAGTGGATTAACTTTAATGATAAGATCTGTTATTGGTGCTTTCTGAAAAACTGTTAAACTGAAAACAGAATGTTGACATAGTATCTGTTCATCTTTTTGCATTGGCTTATTGCCAGAGTTTAATAACTCTGGTATGCCTTTGAATTTTAATTTTAAATAAGACAATTAAAATAATTGGCTCAGACCAAAACTTAACAGTAGTTATCTCTGGGTTCGGTTGTCAAGTAATTTTAAGAGTACTCAAAAAATAAAAACACTCAATTAGTAACAGAGTCTTAGTTTCCACTCTTTCTTTTTCAAAATGGAAGGTAGGAGAACCTATTGCTAAATAATAGGAAAACAGCGTTCTGTGGTCATGTTTCAGTAGGGTGGTTTCTTCTGAAATGCTGTTTTGCTAATCTTTGGGGAAATTTGGCTGTGAACATGCAATTATTACATTTTTATCCACAGAATGGGCTAAAGTTGGCATCACATCCCTCATGGTTGCCAGAGGCAACACACGGATTTAATTTGTGCCCTGTGGCAGACATTTTTGAATAATTTTAGTGATTTTTTTTCTGATGCTACTTTTTTTGTTTCCTTTCTAGTCTCCTACCTTTTGCTGCTCCCCATCCTGTCTGATTTTGTTCACTCATTCTGAGTTCTGAGACAACTACTGTTGGTTGAGGAGAGTAGAATAATTGAAGGGCCAGATGATTGTCCTCGAGGGGCACCCCTGGAGGCAGGGTGGGTAGGAATGTTGGAATGCTCTCATGGTCCAGCTCATGGTGAATGTGGTCCTCTTACAGACTGACAAAAACAGAACAGGTCTGCATTAACCATGTTTAAAACCCAACATGGACTCTGAAAAATGGACCCTGAGATAGTTCCATTTGGGGGATTTTGAATTCCTTTGATGTAGATTTCTTGAAGTCTTATATCCACTGTTCTATTTCCTGCTGTGCCTTTGATATTTTGGTATACTCACTGTTGTCTAACATACAGTATCACCAGATGGAGCTAATCTGAGTGTGAACATCTTTTCTCCTAGGTTAAAGGTCAGAAGCATAAGGACAGAGCCACCCGTTCCCCCAAGGGCCGGCCAGTATTCTGGCCGCTGTAGGACAGGTTGCCCTGCACTAGCGTGTATTTTGTGAGGGCTTTGGGATGGGCATGCTCTTCTGAACATTGCTTGCATATGCAAAAATAGTTTTTTTTATGAAATAGATGTTTGTTTTATATATGTATCCTGCAGATAATCAGAATGGGGGAGAAAAAGTGTAATTCTTATACCTATTGTTATCTAGAAATTCAGATTCCTTTTTTTTTTTTTAAATGCAGAGTGGACCCAAATATCTACGAGATATCTTCGAGAACAGTTGGCCAAGATTTCCGACTTTTACCACATGGCCTCCAACATGGGCGACGGCCCTGTCCCTGTGCCCCCGGAGGTGGAGCAAGCCATGAAGCAATGGGAATACAACGAAAAGCTAGCATTTCACATGTTCCAGGTAACCTTTCCAAGACACGAGGGGCTATGTGGCCTGCTTTTAAGAAGAGAGCAAATTCCTTATGATTCCTGTGGTTTGGGACTTAAATTGTATCTTTATATGAACCCAGTATATTCAAAGAAAGCACTCTGACGTTTCTCACATTGAATTGTATTTAGGGTAACTCATTTGCCCTGGGATGACAGCTTATTATACATATTGATCTCCAGTTTCAATCATGTCAGCTCTTTTAGTGCCATTAATTTGTAATTGGGCAATTAGATATAATCCTTCTAAACCCTTTACTTTGAAAAATTAGATATATTTACTTAAAAACACTTCTGTGCTGATGCGTCTCTCAGTATAGATCTCCTTTAGAGCTGAGTTATCCCAGAGAAAGGTCATCTTGGTTCAGCCAACAGTTTAAAATGCAGAGTTGAGGAGTGAATGCTTATCTAGCGTTTATCTGATGTAAATAATAATGACCAGAAGAGGGCGCCTGTGTGTATATTTGCCTTAATCTTTATTCACCGCAAGGTGATTAAAGGAGAGGTGTATTCAGCTGAAATCCTGTTACTGGCACAGACTTTCAGTACCTGCTACCTTGATCAAAGAGAGAAGGGATATGTGGTTTTTTTTTTTTTTTTTTGAGACAGAGTCTCACTCTGTTGCCCAGGCTAGAGTGAGTGCCGTGGCATCAGCCTAGCTCACAGCAACCTCAAACTCCTGGGCTCAAGTGATCCTCCTGCCTCAGCCTCCCGAGTAGCTGGGACTACAGGCATGCACCACCATGCCCGGCTAATTTTTTCTATGTATATTAGTTGGCCAATTAATTTCTTTTTTATTTATAGTAGAGACGAGGTCTTGCTCTTGCTCAGGCTGGTTTTGAACTCCTGACCTTGAGCAATCTGCCCGCTTCGGCCTCCCAGAGTGCTAGGATTACAGGCGTGAGCCACCACGCCCGGCCAGGGATATGTGGTTTTTTAAAGTTTCACCTTTAGAACCTTAATTATAATTTTCAGGTGGTAAGTGACTTTTTCCAAGAGCTCAAGATAGGAAAAAGCATGGTCCTTTTGTGAAGTAATGTTAATTTTCAAGTCAATAAAAACAACTCTTAAAATCCTAGTTCCATTTAGATGAGGGACTGCTTCAGTGCCTTCCCTGAGATTTTATGACTTTTACTGAGCTCAGGATTTAGTCTGCATCTTGGAAAAGTGTCTCTCAGCATGCTTAATATTTTTGGAAGAATTACTTTGTATAATTAGGATCATTGAAATTAGTTATCTCTTTTATAGGAAGCAGTTAGATCCTAAGTGATGAATGTAATTGAACATTAATGTTAAATTTTAAAAGTTCATTATATTTTAATTTGCCATATTCTGAAATGTAAAACAAGACACTAGCACATATACATGAAGACATACAATGTATAGAAACAAGGGCACAGGTCTATATACAAAAGCCATCTGAAGGATGGGCTCTTATGTTTATGAAGTTTTTTTTTTTTTTTTTTTTTTTAATTGAGACAGAATCTCACTCTGTTGCCTGGGCTAGAGTGCCGTGGCATAGCGTAGCTCACAGCAACCTCAAACTCCTGGGCTCAAGCGATCTTCCTGCCTCAGCCTCCCGAGTAGCTGGGACTACAGGCATGTCCCAACCATGCCTGGCTAATTTTTTCTATTTTCAGTTGTTTGGCTAATTTCTTTCTATTTATAGTAGAGACGGGGTTTCGCTCTTGCTCAGGCTGGTCTCGAACTCCTGAGCTCAAGCAATACTCCTGCCCTCAGACTCCCAGAGTGCTAGTATTACAGGCATGAGCCACCATGCCCGATCATGAAGATTTTTTTTTTAACTTGCATTCACCATGTCTCATATCTTAATGCAAAATTCCATTTTATTTTTTTAAATTGACAAAATTATTCATAGTCTTTATTAAAGTTTACTCTTCTTAAAATTTTAAATTGTACTTTTCTAGGATTAAGTTTTTTTTGGGAGACAAGATTTTGCTCTGTCACCTCAAACTCCTGGGCTCTTGTGGTCTTCCTGCCTCAGCCTCCCAAGTAGCTGGGACTATAGGGGCGAGCCACCACTCCTGGCTAATTTTTCTATTTTTTTGTAGATACAGGGTCTTGCTCTTACTCAGGCTGGTGTTAAACTCCTGGCATCAAGCAAACCTCCTGCCTCAGCTTCCCAAAGTGCTAGGATTATAGGCGCGAGCCACCTCGTATAGTTTGTGATTAATTTTTTAACTATTTTGTGCTCTAAATATTTCTAAAACTAGAAATTAGCAACAAGTAAATACCTCCCCATCATGTCATGTCAATATGGTGTTATTATAATCTTTGAAATACTATAACCATAATCTTATTATACTTAATATTTTTCACATGAATCCTTCATAACCATTGTAGTGGACCACTGATGATACATAATATGATATCAAATCTCTGTGTGCACAGAATGTCATAAAAGAATGTGTGTGTTTGTATGTGTAAGTATATTAAGGCAATAAACCACAAGGTGTTTATATCAGTTAGTGGTCTCTGTAGGGATTATGCCACCCTGTGGGGCATTTTGGAAATTTGTAGGGGCTGTTCCTATTTTTTAGTCGTGTTGTGTTGGAATGTCTATATTAATATGTATTATCATTATATTGACTTTTAAGGTTATATTTTACAGATAAGTTACAACGTCTGAAACTCATTTTAGGATAGCGAAAGAGGCTTACTGAGGGGGCATTGGTCTCATGGGATTTTTTTTTTTTTTTTTTTTGAGACAGAGTCTCACTCTGTTGCCCAGGCTAGAGTGAGTGCCATGGCGTCAGCCTAGCTCACAGCGACTTCAAACTCCTGGGCTCAAGCGATCTTCCTGCCTCAGCCTCCCGAGTAGCTGGGACTACAGGCATGCGCCACCATGCCCGGCTAATTTTTTGTATATATATTTTTAGTTGGTCAATTAATTTCTTTCTATTTTTAGTAGAGACGGGGTCTTGCTCAAGCTGGTTTTGAACTCCTGACCTTGAGTAATCCTCCCGCCTTGGCCTCCCAGAGTGCTAGGATTATAGGTGTGAGCCACCGCGCCTGGCCGTCTCATGGGATTTTTAAACTTTTGTTGAGATGATAGTAGAAGGAGCGTTTTTCTTTCTACTTTATAATGATCACCATTAGCCATGTTTCCTCCTGTGACCATGACTTCATACTCCCTGAAATCTAGCTAGGGGCTCGATACACCCTTCTGAAAATTTCCTTTCTTATTGGAATTAATTTTTTAAATTCAGAGTGGACTACTAAAAAATGAAAGAACAAAACCCAAACATATATTAAAAAAAACACCTAGTGGCCGGATGTGGTGGCTCACGCCTGTAATCCTAGCACTCTGGGATGCCAAGGCATGTGGATCCCTTGAGGTGAGGATCCCTTGAGCTCAGGAATTCGAGACCAACCTGAGCAAGAGTGAGACCCTGTCTCTACTAAAAATAGAAAAATTAGCTGGGTGTGGTGCTGTGTGCCTGTAATCCTAGCTACTTGGGAGGCTGAGGCAGGAGAATCACTAGAGCCCAGGAGTTGGAGGCTGCTGTGAGGCTGATGCCATGGCACTCTGGCCCTGGTGACAGAGTGAGACTCCGTCTGAAAATAAAATAAAAACTAAAAACAAAAAAAAAACAACAAAAAAACCGTAGTTTTTCTTTGTTTTGTTTGGATTTTGGGCTGTGATCAGTGAGACCATGTTTTACAATAATAATAACAATAGTAAAATTAGACTTAAATATAAGAATGCCAGTACCCCTTTTTGTTAACTTTATTAGTGTAATTTTTCTTTGTTGATTTAAGGAAGGAATGCTAGAAAAACATGAATATTTGACATGGATCCTGGATGTTTTGGAAAAAATCAGACCGATGGATGATGATCTTCTTAAACTCTTGTTACCACTAATGCTGCAGGTACAGTACATGTCACCTTGAGCCAGTTGATTTTATGGGCAAGAAATGAGTCTGATAAAAATGATTAGGTAAGTATAGGTGGAAAAAGAAAAAAAAATCCTGTTAAAATGGAAGGAAAAAATGTCTTCGGCATTACAACACATGAAGTGTTAGGAGGCTTCTAATAAGTCTTAGCAGTCATTTGTATTGACCATGTTCATAGTTTGTATCCACATGTCCTTTTTAAGTAATCTCACCCACGTTGATTTTTTTTTTATGATTTCTCTCATCACTGAGCTAAGCACACAGCTTTAAAAATACTGTCTCCCTGTAATAACACAGAATTCTGTGAAAACAAATCTCTCTAAGAATACAGAGGATCTTCTACAGTCTTTTGAAAATTGTTTAAGCTCTTGAGGGTAGGAAACTTCTTATTTTGATGATTTGGCCTAAGATCTGTTAAAATTTCTGTTATCTGGATGAGATCTATTTAAAAGAAATTTCTTAGGTAATACATGCATATGATAATTCAAATAGTAGGAAAGAATGTCCATTGAACGGCAGTTCTCCCTCTCAGGCCAGTGCCCTTTCCAGAGACTATGCCATACCAGGGTCCTGGGCACCTCCCCTGGGATGTGCTGTTCCTGCACTGTCCCATATGGTAGCCACCAGCCAGACGTGGCTATTGAAATGCGACCAGGCTAGGCGTGGTGGCTCATGCCTGTAATCCTAGCACTCTGGGAGGCCGAGGCGGGTGGATTGCTCGAGGTCGGGAGTTCGAAACCAGCCTGAGCAACAGCGAGATCCCGTCTCTACTAAAAATAGAAAGAAATTAATTGACCAACTAAAAATATATATACAAAAAAAAAAATTAGCCGGGCATGGTGGCACATGCCTGTAGTCCCAGCTACTCGAGAGGCTGAGACAGTAGGATCCCTTGAGCCCAGGAGATTGAGGTTGCTGTGAGCTAGACTGACGCCACGGCACTCACTCTAGCCTGGGCAACAAAGCAAGACTCTGTCTCAAAAAAAAAAAAAAAAAAAGAAATGTGACCAGTACAAAGTGATGTGTGCCCTAAAGTGTTAAATACACACCAGATTTCAGACTTAGTATGAAAAAAGAATGTATAATACTGGTACTTCTTAGGGGTTGATTGCATGTTGAAATGATAACATATTGGAGATACTGAGCTAAATAAAATATGTTTTTCTTCTGTTTATTTTTTGAATGGCTATTAGAATCTTTAATAAAAATTATCTCTGTGGCTCACCTTATTTCTATTTATTTTTATTTATATTATTTATATTTCTATTTATACGGTTGAAAGTTTTCTTTTTCTTTTTTAAATGAAAAAAAATTAAAATAATGTTAAAATAATGATTTAACCAAGACGCTTAAGGCATGACTGAAGTCTGGTGTCCTTCTCCTTCTCAGTATTCAGACGAGTTTGTTCAGTCGGCCTACCTGTCTCGTCGTCTTGCCTACTTTTGTGCCCGGCGTCTTTCCTTGCTGCTGAGCGATAGCCCCAACCTCCTTGCTGCCCACTCACCCCACATGATGATAGGACCAAACAACTCGAGTATCGGGGCCCCCAGCCCTGGCCCCCCCGGCCCTGGCATGAGCCCCGTGCAGCTGGCCTTCTCAGATTTCCTCTCCTGTGCACAGCATGGTCCCCTGGTGTATGGACTTAGTTGTATGTTGCAGGTAAGTCCTTGACCGTTGTTATTTAATGTTAAAATTCAATGTGGGAGACCATTGGGTTGGGAATAGCATTTTCAGTTTCCTAGTTGAACTTTCACAGCTCTAGTTTTTCCCTCACCCAAGTAATTTATAGATTGAAAATTTATGTTTTTATTTCCCTCTGTTGGATCAAGCTGAGAGAAGATTTGTTGTATCTGTCTGAAAGAAAGTTATTGTGGTTGCCCTTTGTTAGAATCATTAAGCAGTTCAAGTAAAAATCCTTTGGGGAACACACAGAATAAGGCAGCTGTATTATTGTTCTTCTGGAAGGACAGCTACTCCAAACAGCATTTGTGTTCCTCAGTTTACATTTTGAGTTGGTTGCCCCTCTCTGTGTTTCTTTGGATCACGCGTCAAGCTCCGTTCCTTTTCCAAGCATTGTTGCTTGTGTGGTCCTTGAACATCTAGTAATGTGCTGCTCCCTGGGCTGATACTATCAGAAATGAGATAGAGCCCTGCCCTAGAGGAGCTCATCGTTTGGTGTTTAGTTCACATTTCTTGGGTCTTAATGTTTTCTGCTGTGTGCTAGGGGACTTTGGGACAGAGCTGGCTCTGAAGACGTGGTCTCCATTCTGGTAGAGTTTGCTGTCTGGGGGAAGACAGGGTCATAAATGGGCAGTTTTATGTCAAGGGCTGATGGAGGATTTCATAGGGAGTTAAGGCAATTGAAAATGAGAACTTCTGAGCCCCACCTAAAATTCATGGAGGCTTTATAAAAGAAGCTTTATAGTTTTTATTATATGAGTTAAAAAAAAAATCAAGTAAAAAGAGGTGGAAAGGGTGTTACTGGCAGAGGGAACAGCAAGAGGAAACGCCGAGAGGGCTGGTCAGTGATCTCGTGGGCAGGTCGGTGTCGATGGGATGTAGAATCTGTTGGGGGTCAGGGTGCAGAACACCCCGTGGGCCTCATGATTGGGAGGTCATCAGAGGGCTTTATGCAAGGAAGTGACACGGTCGGTTGTGTTGTTTTTACATTGTTTTGGCCACAGTAGAGGGAAGATATGCGGGGTTGGGGAGGTAGGAGTGAGGGAGACACAGCAAAGAAATCGGTTTGCAATCATTTAGCTAAGTTCAGTTTTGGACTATTCTGTCCTGTAAGACCTCCAAGTGGACATGTTCAAGAGGTTGTTACATGTCTGATTCTGAAGAGTAGGGTGGACGCTTGGCCAGATGCATGGATTGGGATCATTCAAGGCCCCTTGGCTGGTCAAGAGGGCATGAGAGTCTGTTGTGTGAGAGGATCTGTGGACCTGAGGGGCAGGAGTGGTTGAGAGACGGGCAGAGGGGAAGGTTGGCCGGAATAGAGACAGGGAGAGAGTATTGTTGTGGAAACAAAGATGAGGAGCATAACAGTAATACTGTCATAATGGTATCATCGTAGTAGTAGCATTTATTATTTTCTAGGCATTGTTCAAAGTTGTAACATGTGTTGTTAAGTCATTTAGTTCTCAGACCTAGCCTGTGAGCTAGGAACCATGCTTGTTCCCAATGCATAGGCTACGGAGCAAGTAAGTGGCAAAGCTGGAATTCAAACCCAAACAGTCCGTATCTGGAGTCCACGCTCAACTACTATGCCAAACTGGGCTCTGCAGAAAGTTTCGAAAAGGAATTAGTAGCGGGCGCTGCCCACTGTATTGGGGAAGTCCGGTAAGAAGATGGCTAAAGTTGTCCTTGATGATACAGTGGTTGTTGATGATCTTTTTAAGAGCTATTTCAGTTGTATAGTGGGTGAGAAACCAAATTAAGGTATTAAATACGTTGAGGAGTGATGCAAGAATGTGGAGAAATAGCCTGAATTGTTCTTTTGAGAAACTTGTTTTGAAGGGAAGAGAAGAGAATGGATAGTGGAGAGAGATTGTTGCTGGGTGAGTGGAGATTAAAAAAAAAATTTGTTGGGCAGATTTGAACTTATTTCTAAGCTAAGGGTACACTAGTAGAGGGCGAGTCTGAGAATAGGAGAGGGGTGTTTGATGGATCAGTGCCCTGGATCTGGGAGGCTTTGGAATCAAGAACGCAGGGAAGGGCAGTGCCAGGAGCTGAGGATCTCATATTGCCACAGGCAGGACCAAGGAGGTAGGGATGTGGGCCAGTGGAGACACATTGATTGTTAGGGCTCAGGGAGTTGACATTCTTCACATCTGCCATCTGGTCTCCACAAAGATGTTTTATAGATCTCAGAATTTAATTTTATATTTAATTTCACGCTTTTGAAAAAAGAAATGCTGCATTCTCTAAGCTCACATTGTTTGCTTTTGAGTGGCATGGTAGCATAGTGATTTAAACATGCACTTTAGAATCCTTACTGACCTGATTTTGAACCCCCCTCTGCCACGTAGTAACCGTGACCCTGAGCCTCTGTTTCCTCATGTACAAGAGGGGGATGATGACAGTTCTTACTTCACTACCTCATGGGGTTAAAGCTATGATGATGGGGGGCTTCCAGGTCAGTGTGTAGCATGGAGTAAGTCTTAAATGTGAGCTATATGATTTAGTCTACATTTAGGAGGCAGCAGGATAACCTAGTAGTTCTGAGCATGTGTGTGTGCCGGAATCAAACTTGAGCTGGTTACTAATCTCCTTTGTGGCTCATATTCCTCTTGGGTAAAATTGGGGAATAACAATACCTAGCTCATAGGGGTGTTGTGACATTTAAGCAGGATGGTCATGTAAAGTACTTCTGGTTGAGGAAAAAATGTCTGTAAATGTCTAGGGCAAGAGTAGATAAACTACAATCTGTGGGCCAAATCCAGTCCACAAGCTAAGTATAGATTTTACATTTTTAATGGGTTATTAAAACAAAAAGGAAGAATATGTGACACAAACTACAGGTGGCCCACAAAGGTTTACATTACAAACATTTATTGTCTGGCTTTTTTTTTTCCTGGTTTCATTTACAGTGAATTGTCTGGCTTTTTATAGAAAAAAAGTTTGTACACCCCTGGCCCAGGGTTACTGCCCAGCATTTATGAAGCTACTGTTGTGCCATTATTTGAGAAATTTTTTAAAAAATAATTATTTTTTTGGCTTTTATAACCTTAGAAATTATGTATTCTAATTCCATCTCATGTTTTTAATTGCATAAGGAAATTGTCTTAAGTGGCAATCTTTCAATGATTACTGCATTTTTATTAAGTTCCCCCAGGTTTCCTGTGTTGGAAAATTAGCATATGAATTATAATATTCCTTAACTTCTCAGTAGCTGCACTTCTTTTCTTTCAAATTAATAATGCTTAGTTTTGTCTTACCACTTGGAAAGTTGAGAATGGGGTAAACTGTTCATATTTTACATTCGCTGGTAGCAAGCCATAATATGGTAATGATAAGGTGTCATTTTTACTGTTTAGCCGTTGTTACCGTTTTTCCCTCCTCTGAATATCCGATTTTTTCTGCTTCATTTCTAGACTGTCACTCTCTGTTGCCCAAGTGCCTTGGTGTGGAATTACTCCACAAATGAAAATAAGAGCGCGAACCCAGGCTCGCCCCTGGATCTGCTGCAAGTGGCCCCTTCTAGCCTCCCCATGCCGGGCGGGAACACGGCTTTCAATCAGCAGGTAGACTTCTGTTTAAGTGCTCGGATGCGTGTTTTCATTGTGGAGAGGCATCAGGTCATAGTGGGCCATGTCTGGGCTTTAGTATGTCAGATGCTTGGGTGCCTTTCTGTGCTCAGCCCCCTGACTCCCTGGGTGACCCTAGGGAAGTATTTAGCCTCTTCAGAACCACAGAATTTCATGATGTTACTCATTTTCCTTCTACCCTCTTGCTGGGCAGTTCTTGCTGAGAATTCTGCCACCCAGACAGTAATTATGGTCGTGGTTCTAATACGTGACCATGGCTCCGATAGTACTTTTAGTGATATTATCTAGTGATCATTTTATATTTGTCTTATTTGTTTCAGGGACTTATGAAACTTGAACATAGGATTGTGACTGATATTTAGAATAAGATCCTTGTCTTTTTGCTAAGTCGTTTTCCTAAATTAAATAAAACATTGCTAGTTGCTTTCATGCATAGATTGGCTCAAGAGGATGTTTCTTAGAACTCTCACCTTTCCATGTGGGGTCTCAGAAATTTCACTTGTAAAAATTTTTTGCAAGCATTTATTTTCCTGTACATTTATCATGGAAAGCTGGCATTGAATTACCACTTGTAAATTAAAAAAACGCACCTCTTGGGCAACAGGCCGTGTTTCCTACAATTCAGTCAAGATTGTAGTTCACTGTAGGATATTCTATTCATGCGGAAAATCCTGACATGATTTAGACAGCCTCTGTGGTTTTCCAAGCACAAGTTAATTAGAAGTGATTATCTTCCAGGTTCGGGCAAGGATTTATGAAGTGGAACAGCAGATAAAACAAAGAGGTCGTGCCGTGGAAGTTCGGTGGTCTTTTGACAAGTGCCAAGAGTCAACAGCAGGTACAGAACACAACAGAAGAATGAGTACTTGTGAATGCTGGAATTTATACTCTGCTTTTGAATTTTGTAAACCACTGCATGTGAATAAGGAAACTTTTTGATGGAGCCACTTGGTGAATTTTGAGGATATTCTTCAGCTTATGCCTTTTAGATGTTGGCTGTCTGGAGTGTCAAGTTTGGTTTTGGCATTTCTTTGATAGTATATGCCGAAAATGATAATTTTAAAAAATAATTTTGCCTCCCATAATGATGATTTTGTACTATGCTGTTCTGAATTTGTTTGTCCTCTTTAACTGCTTGCTTAATTTCTGCATCTAGGGGTGACTATTAGTCGGGTTTTGCATACACTGGAAGTTTTGGATCGTCACTGTTTTGACCGAACTGATTCCAGCAATTCAATGGAGACGCTTTATCATAAGATTTTCTGGGCAAACCAAAACAAAGATAACCAAGAGGTAGTTGATGTTTCTCCTTTCATTTTCACCTTTTATTTTCTTAGCATATTTTCTCATTCAGTAAACTCTGGCAAAGCTTTTCTATAATTCATAATATCTTATGAAGGCATGTCAACTTTGCACCCATTCCATTGTTGGGCTAAGATGATCCAACATTGTTAAAATGATAATGTCCATTGCGCCAATCTACTGAGGTGTATTGATTGGAAAGACTTTTCTCTGTCCTTTTACCATTACTCTCCAATTTCACTTTTAGTGGAATATCTTTCATCTAGTGATTAGATATTATACAGTGGGTTTGGTTTTAACTTGGGGGAATGCATTTTAATATTTAGCACAGCAGAGGGCAGTGCATGGCTACATGTGGTCTTTGAAAAATCCTTGGACAATGTGTTAGGGTTCTACAGAGAAACAGAACCCGTAGGAAAAATACGTGTGTGTCGTGTATGTGTGTGTATATATGTGTGTACATATATATTTATAGAGAGGGGGAAAAAAAGAGATATTTATTTTAAAGAATTGGCTCATGTGATCATGTGACTGGCAAATTCAAAACACGCAGGGCAGGCCGGAGATGCAGGGAAGAGTTGATGCTCTAGTCTTGAGTCTGGAGGCAGAATTCTTTCTTCCTTTCGGGAACTCAGTCTTTTCTTTCAAGGCTTTCAACTGACTGGATGAGGCCCACCCACATTATGGAGGATAAGCTGTTTTACTCAAGGTCTGCTGATTTAAATGCTAGTCACATCTAAAAAATGCCTTTGCAGCAATATCTAGAGTAGCATTTGACCAAACCTATAGCCTAGCCAAGTGGACACTTAAACTTAGCAATCAGAGACAATTTTTATCTTATACTTTCCTAAGCAATAGATTGTTTCCATAGTGAACTGCTCTATAAACATAGGATTTTCAATTTATTTTTCCTTGTCCTTATTTGGGGGGAAATAAAAAATTTGTCCTCTTTTCCCAATGGAAAATGCCTATGGTGTATCCAGCTTGTGTTAGGCCCCTGGAATGCCAAGGTAAGTTTTAAGACACCTTCAATACCTTAGTTAACTGATTCTAAGTATCTCTGGTTTTTCAGCTAGCCTTTGAGAATGCGTATCTGGAAAGAAGAGAAGAGATGAAATAACAAAAACAACAATTCAGAAACCTTTCCCTATCCCACCTTTATGTGAGCCTGCTACATGTTCCAGATTATTCATCTTTTTGGAATAATTTATGAATCCTCACCTTGCTTCTCAGAAATATATGGTTCAGGACTAGTGGTGCCAAGTAGGCTCAGAATGTTGAGAGCAAGGGACAAGAAGGTTGAGGGCATTTTTTAAATTCATTGTGAGTCTCAGCAGAAATCCTTCAGCACTGCGGCAGAGCATGCTGGTCATAACCCCATACAATCCTCTGCTTGCCGAGGCAGGTTAGAGTGTTACTGTGATCTTTTAGGGTAGAAACCTTTAAGTTTGTAGTCAAGACTTTTTTAGATAAAAGGTTTCAAGAATACTAAGATTTTTAATACACAGAAGTGAGTTACCTGGAAGGAAAACAGGGATAACCAAAATTCAAGGTGTCCTTTTAGATTGCTAAGCTTCTTATACTAAGTGTTGAGTAAAAACTATCTTGTTTCCTGTTGAAGGTTTTACCACTTCGGTTTTGTGGTTAGCGTGACTATATAACTTTGTAGTGAGTGAACTGCTAACTTCAGGATTACGGCCTCATTCACTCACGGGGACTTGCGTTACAGCACTCTCAAAGAGAAAATGGTAGTAAGGGTGTCTCCTAAACAGCGGAAATGTCGTCGTATTTCTGAATAAAATCACACTGTTTTTAGGGTTCTCTCTAAAACACAGCCGTCTCTAGGGTGGGTGCCTGAGATGAGCCATTACGGTGCAAGAGGAAATTATTAGAACTTATGTTTAGATTACGTTTTAAAAAATCTTTGTCTCAGTTTTCTAATCAATTTAATTACTATGGTAGAATTGGTACAGAAATTATGAATAAGTATATATTGGGAGTTTTTACTAAAAACAAAACGAAACTCTTTGTGCTAGGAGGGTTAAGTGGAAATGTTTGGAGATTGCTGCTCTAAGCTTCCTCTATGTGAATGACTTCTCCACCCAGGACGCGGGGAGGTGTGTGCCACTAGAGGGCGACATGTGCTCAGGGATGAGAGTCCTGGAGGCTGTAGAAGGAGTGTCTGGGTTGCCCCGTTTAGCAGTACTTATTTTGAATGTTGACTCAACTTCAGAAAGATTTGATGTGAGTGAGGGGTTGCTATGAGGTTAATATGCTTCTTTATAAGTAAGACAAAAACTGCATTTTAAACCTGTAGTTCAGAATGGCCAACTTTTCTTAATAATCTGGCAGAAAGGATATCTGAGTGGACAGATCCTTCTGTAATATTTAATTATTATTATTATTATTGAGCCAAGTGGGCGACCTGAGCCAAGTGGTCAATAACATTATTATTAATAATAATATCATTTATTATATTATTTATGATCAATTATATCATTAATTATATATTAATAATATATTAATTAATATTATATTACATGTTATATTATAAAATAATATTAATGTGTTATTGCTATTATTAATATATTTATATATTAATTACTATTATTTAACATTAATTTTTAAAGTATGGCTTTGGCATGTATTTGTGTACATGTGTATGTCAGGTTATGAATGTATATGTAATTAAATGACAAAGTTTTATCTCTCTGTTTACCAGAGTTTTCTTGACAACAGAATCACTTTATATTTCTGGAATTCATGTATGAGCTACAGTATTGTGTTGACTCTGATCAGCCATGTGACCTTGAGCAAGTTGCTCAAGGCTTTGTGCCTTAGTATTCTTTTTAAACAGATTAAAGTATTAGGCCATTAAGTATGAAATGTCCAATTTCGAATCAGAAATGTAGCTTATTATATCTCAAACAAGAAGCAGTACAATTGATCAAAGTATGTGCCTAAACTATCAACACAGTTTTGCCATCTTAATGGTGGCTTGTTTGTGTCATCATCGAAGAAATCTGGAGAGCCAGTGACAGTGAAATTGTGAGAGGCATTTTCCATACCTTGTTGAAAATTGAATATATTTCCTTGCAAGAAGTAGTCCAAAGCCCAGAAGAAGTGGTAGTCAGTTGGTGCCAGGTCTGGTGAATATGGTGGATGACAGAGAGTTCACAAGTCCAGCTTCTGTAGTTTGAGCAGCATTGTTTGTGTGACATGTGGTTGAGTGTTGTCTTGCAGGAGGATGGGCCAATCTTGGCTGCTTAATCTCAAGCATTCTCATCATTTTGTCCAATTGGTTGCAGTAGACATCCGCTGTAATCAACTGACCAGGTTTCATGAAGCTGTAGTGAATAATACCAGTGTAGGCCCACCAAACAGACATCATTAGCTTTTTTTTGATGAATATTTGGTTTTGGTCTGTGTCTTGGCACTTCATCTTTATCCACCCTTTGTGCTGAAAGCTTTCAACTGTCAAAAAGAATCCATTTTTGATTACATGTAATATTATAGTATAGAAATGGTTCACCTTTATGTCATGACAACAAAGAAAGGCAAGCTTCGGGATGATGTCTATTCTGATGCTCATTTAATTCATGCAGATCCCATCTATCTGGCCTCTGTAGCTTACCTATTTGTTTCAAATGGTCCAGTATTGTTGGAATGGTAATGTCAAAACTTGCTGCTAATTCATAGGTAGATTGAGATGGATTCGCTTCTGCCACAGCTTTCAGCTCATCGTTATCCACCTTGGTCTCAGGTCACCCACTTGGCTCATTTTCAAGATTAAATCACCAGAATGGAGCTTCTCAAACCATCAACATACTGTGTTCACTAGCCACGTCCTTCCCAAACACTTCATTGATGTTTCTAGCTGTGTGTGCTGCATGGGTTCCACGACGGGACCGATATTCAAAAATAACATGAATTTTTGACTTATCTATGGAGTCACAAAAAAATTGCTCTAAAAACAAATTCGAAAGATAATCCAAGCCAAAACATGTTTTTGAAAGAATGAGGATGTACTTTCACAATAAAAAACAAACAACTCAAATGAGGCCACTTCCCAGGAAAAACAAACAAACAAAAAAAACCCCAAACAAACAAAAACAACAAAAGAGAAGTGTCAAAGTGAAACGTCAGAGATATCAACTCTAAAACTTAGTACTTAAGGAAATTCAACATTTCATACTTAATAATCTAATACTTGCCCTTTTCCTCTCTAAGGAAACATGAACACTTTGAGAATTAAAAGGCACTATATAAATATGTTCCAAAAATTGTTATTGTTAATGATAATATAGCAATTGTTATTAGTATTGTCTTGCAAGAACCGGTATTGTGACTCTGTTCTTTGATAAGGAGTGTGGTTAGGATTCAGAACCACATTTCACTTCTTTAAAATGTACTTCCCTTTTTTTTTTGTTTCATAATTTGTGTCAAGATTTAGATAACATGGTAGATAATAGTTTACCAACCTCGGTAGTTGCAATGGGTTGGAGGTTTGCTGACTGGAAGTCACGCGCAGGTGTGCCCAAGCCCTGGCTTCCGTAGCCTGCTTCCTCTCATTTGTTTGGGAAACTTGAATTTCACCCTCCTTGATTCCCTTTTCTCTGGAACTGCTAAGGGGAAGTCTGATCCTCTCTACTTCCTTGTAGGGAATAGGGAGAACCTCTGTCCAAATGGGAGAAGGCAAGGGTTCTGAGGTTCAGACTTGTGTGTGTAATCAGTTTCGATATTTGGTGGAAGCCTATGGAGAACTGTAACCCAGGGGTTGAGGATGATCGAGGCCTGGGTCCTGCCCTGTGTTTGGGTTATGGTGGTGGTGAGAGTAAGAGTAGGACTGGTGCCCTGCCCCATGTTGGGGTGTGCCAGGCCTGCGGCGTGCTTTCACTAATTCCACATGGAATATATTTATGCCTCTATTCTCTGCCTCCCTCTCGCCCCTTATCCCCTGTATTCTCAGCTACTGCTTCTGTGTCAGGGGT